TGTTATTTAATCTTAGTCCAATATTGTACATATCTGCGGTATGACTAATTAATATATCCAACTTTATCTATAAACACATCTATACAAAAATTAATTAAGACACAACACATGTGCGATGTGTGTGCTATACATGTGCCATACATGTGCCTTTTTTATGAAAATAAATTTTCTAACCTTGTTTAATCTTAGTTTATAGGGCTAATTATAATTAGTCCATCACTAGCTACTTATTCGTAAATAGGTTTAGACCAAAAAATCCTTTTACAAAAAAAATCAGACAATGTTTAGATGTATATTAGAGACCAAAATACCCCATTATATTTTAATATACTCTAACTTCATCATTTAATTCAGTTTAATCTCAGTTTGATCTCAAATTTAAACAATTATTCAATTTTAACTCATAACACAATTTCTCAATAATGCGGACTTGCAGTGTTCTAGTCACACTTCTATTTTCTTTGGTTATAGTCAGGTAGCTGTATCGAAAGTAGCACCGATCAAAAGGCAAATAACAATCTTTTTTTCACACGTTCTACTTTCTCTATACATATATATGTTTTCATATTTCGGTGGCACTAAGTATTAAATGTATGATCGTATACAGGTCTATGTGGTTTATATGGGCAATCGCGCGAAAGCCGAATTCACTACAACAACACAGCATATGAGTATGCTACAGGCTACTTTAGGAAGGTTTGTCAGTCTAATAAAACTAAATACCATTTGTATTTCTCATGACTTTCGTTTATATTCTAATATTAACTTCTAATTTATATATATCTGATGGAAATTCGATAAGCCAAAGGGGGAAGGACACTTGGTAGCACGGCTTCAAGAGAAGCTTCAGCGGCTTCGTTGCAAAGCTTTCTCATGAATAGAAAAACAATATTGCTAGTAAGTGATCCAACATTGTACAATTTCGTTGTATTTTCTTAAATATTTAACTTTGTAATTCTAAAAAATAATTCAATATTGCAGTAAAATCGTATGAGTAAATTACTAAATTCGTGTGGAATAACTACGTTTTATAAGTTTGTATTTAGAACATGCAATTGGACTAATTAAAATTTCCAACTTTATATATAAACACATCTACAATAAAATTAATATGACACGTGCAATGGACGTGCTATACATGTGCCTTTTTATGCTTTTATTATTCTCAAATTGTGTATTAAGGAATAAGGATGATAGTAAATAGGGTTTGCCTAGGGTGAGATACCTTGTGTTCTAAACTTATATCAGATATGCATTAATCATCATTAATTTTTTGCAAGATTAAATCTGGACCCTAGGAAAATAACATGGGTGGTGTTACAAATAATGAAGCATTTTATCAAAGTATCCTTCGATTTTTTTAATTAAATTAATATAAAATAAATTAACATCGAATTGTCTAATATACCCCTTACTATATTTTAATTAAATAATTAATTTAAATTCATTGTGACCGAGTTTTATTTGATGAATAATCGAAAAAAAATGCATTCATTAGGGATATAACTTGAGACAACTTAGTACATTCAACACTCCTAACCATCCAAGCACATTAACTTATTAAGATATATTTGACCATAATTGTATATATGGGTCAAAGACAATATAAAATGATAATAAATGTAAGTATTTAAATATTGTTAAATAAAATATTAATTGCGACATTCATTATTATTAAATAATATTAAATAGACTATTAACATATTTAATATAATAAAGTTTGAAAAATATAAAGAATTGCAGTTCAATACGCCAAATATCTATCATTAATTATATAATGTTAAAAATATTAATAAACTCTACCATTTAAAAATATAAAGAATGCTCAATTAAATATGAAAAAATGCATAACTTAATCCAAACTCACTTATGTTATTAAATCGATAGTGTGACAAATCCAAATAAAAAATAAAATAATATGTTTATTTAGAAGAAAAAAAAATTATAACTCATTCCAATTAGTAATTTTCTTACTTTAAAATAAAATTATGTACTATAAATACTATATTGTGAATTTTCTTTTAATATTTAATTTAATCAAATAGTAAGATTGAATTGATTAAGCTCAAATCCTTTCAATTAGTAAACATTATTCAAATATTTGAATCGGTTGCTTAACTATTGACATAATGTGTTACATAATTGATTTAACTATTTATAAGTAATGTCTAATATTTTTTAATTCAATTTTATCATTAAAAAAACAATAAATTTAATTCCTAACACATGTAAGAATCTAATCGTAAATCGTAATATTTTATCAAAACGTAATATTTGAACCAATTAAGCTCAAGTCCATTCAATTCGTAAACATTATTCAAATATTTGAATCGGTTAAGCGCGCTCAACTATTGACAAGAACGTCTTAATCAAATTAACTATTATTAATTAAAGTGTAATACATTTTTAATTCAATTTTATTATAAAAATATAATTTCTAAATTACGTAAGAATCAAATCATAAGATTAATTAAAGTGTATAATTTGAATCAGTTAAGCACAAATCCTTTTAACTTGTAAATATTATTCAAAAATTTGAATCGATTAAGTTCAACCATTGACAAAAACGTATTAATCGAGTTAACTATTTATAATTAAAGTCTACTATCCTTTTAATTCAATTTTAACAAAAATAATAATAATTTAATTCGTAAAATTGTAAGAATCAAGTCGTAAATCGTAAGATTTAATCTCAGCATGAACCGATTAAATCTTACAATTTTTACGAATTAAATTTTATTATTTTTTATGATAAAATTCAATTGAAAAAAAGATACTAAACTTTAACTATACATAGTTTGATTAATACGCTATTGTAAATTATTGAGTTTAACCAATTCAAATATTTGAATATTGTCTAGCTACCAATTGAAATGAATTGAGCTTAATCGATTCAAATCTTTGAATATTGTTTTTGAATTGAAAACACATGAGTTTAATTGATTCAAACCTTACTATTTACTTAAATCTTACAATTTATAATTCAATTCAAATTTCAAATTCTTCTGAAATTCATTTTTAAATTACACGAGTTGATCAGCATTTTCTTAGATTTTTTTAAATTATATTATATAAAGATTTGTTGGTATGGGATATTTTTAATATATAATAATAATTATATGAGAATTAATAATTTATTTAACATTATTTATATAAGTTTTATAATCATATACATTGTAGCTTTATGATATATATAAGTATTGTTAGTTTATTTTCAATTATGTGTTGTGTCTAGGGGTGTGAACGAGCTCGGCTCGTTCCTATTTTGTCGAGTTCGAGCTCGTGTCATTTTGTCGAGCTCAAGCCCAAGCTCATTTTGCTTTTTTTTTTTAATATTTTTTTAATTTTTATTTTATTATTATTAAAAATTATTTTTAAAAAATACAAAATAAAAACTAAATTGAATTTATATATTTTTAATATTTTTATTTATTTATATAATGTTTTATATTATTATACATTATTTAAATAAAAATAACATATAAAAAATAAAATAAAAATAAAAAAATAATAATAAATAAGGCTCGCGAGCTAATGAACAACTAAAAACCGGCTCGAGCTCAGCTCGTCAGAAAGCTCGAGCTCGAAAAACTCGAGTCCGAGTTCGAGCTTTTTACGAGCCGGCTGGTCAAGCTCACGAGTCGGCTCGGCTCGTTTACCACCCCTAGTTGTGTCTCAATGGTAAGTATTCTTGTATAATTTAAGATGGTCATAAGTTTGAATTCACCCTAATGCATTCTTTTATGAATAATGATATAATTGACTTTATAAATTTTAATTCAACAATAAATATAGATTTAAAATTGCATTAAAACAGAGAGTGTAAAATTGGCATTTCATTAATAATTTATAATTGCCGATTTTTGTAAAATAATAATTGCACAAAGGGTATTTGCGATAATACATAAATGATGAAAAAATAAGCTGTGTTGTTGGGACACATGTCACCGTTTGAAGGGAGTATCTTATATAAGTCATGTGACTGGGATCTCATCATAGAAAGACCCAAATAAATATACATTTATCTTTTGTTTATATGTATAACTGTATAAGGTAAGTTTATGATTTGAAGATGTGTGTATGATCTTATGACCAAGAGGAAGTTTATTGCTATAAATATGTGTTTATAGCTATAAATATTATATAAGTGGGTTTTCTATTCCAAATTTGGTCATCGTATTTTTTTTCAATTTGAATTTAATTTATTTGGATTTAAGTATAATTCCATTTCGAGTTTAATTTCATAGTCATCTCATGTAGCTACTTGATTCGGGCTATTTTGCTCAAGTCTAATAGGCTTACCAATCAGCCCATTTACCTCTCCAACTCAAGTCCACCAATCACATGTTTTGGACCCAACAAAAGCGGCCTACTCCCGACTTTTCTCTTTCTAGGTTAGAATACCGAAACTATAAAATTACACGCTCCATCCATTTTGAGCTCAGCTGGGAAAATAGTATTCTTATTTCCCGTGATGTCAGGAGTTCGATTCCTGTCTAGCGCGTGTTTCACATTTAAAAGATTTCCCAATTGGGCCTTGATATTTAAGCACATTTTACATTTAACACTTCCAATTGGGCCTTGATATTTAGCAGCCCAAACACATAACTTATTTTTGTATGTTTTAAGCTTTAAATTTAAATTTTATTAGATCATAATTGATCCGAAAATTATAAAATCAAAGTAAGTTAATGACAGTATTTTATCGGTACAAACTTTAAATCCAACCCAATCAATCTATACAAAATTGTTCTTAAAAACACATTAAAATTAGGCTTAATTACAAACAATTTTAGTACTTTTGCTGTTGCTTAATATATACTAAAACTATTTTGACCTAATTAATCGCAACTATTGTTTTTCTTAGTTTGTTTAGTTACTACGGCAACTCACACCAATCAATCATTTGGAGTTGTAGAATTTATCCTTCATTGCCTCTTTAGTAAATATGATTGATTGTTCAAACACAGTACATTTATTTTAGTTGTAAAACAGAGAATTACTAATGCAAAGAAAAGTCCAACACAATTTATTTATAGCAGAACAAACCCCAAAATGGCCTTGGAATTTGGATACACATCATCTGTAGCACACACAGATATATATGCTACTACTTTAAACCAAACACACACACACACACACAATTACACTAAAACAACACCACCATCAAATTTCTGCCCTCCAACCTTTTTCATGGCAATGTATAAGCTGCAACAGAGTAAAAAAGAAATATTTAATTAGAAACAATTACTCGAAAAAAATGAAAGAGAAGTAGTTTTAATGGATTTAAAAAAAGAACGGTGAATTCACCTCCACACTTGTAGCCGATGGGCCTGTCGCTAAGGTTACAACGTTTGGGAATCGTGATGGCGATTTCGGGTTTGACTCCGGCTGCCTTCGCCATATTAGACAGCAAAACTGCGCACAAGCATCTCGGATTCTGTCCGATCTTCTTCACCTGAGCACAACACCCGCCCGAAACGGCGGCACTAGAGTCCTGCACCGCCGACGCGCACGGAATCAGCTTCATGGCTTCCATGTCGGGGGTCGATTTCGGGCATTCCCCGGCTGCATTTGCTCCGTTTGAGGTAAAGATACCTACAAGAACAAAGACAACAACTACGCAAGAATAACACCTTACTCGTGACGCTTCCATATCTCCGATATATTTTTTCTTTGTTCGATGCATCATATCAATGCAGTGGGGGTGTTTTTTTATAGTGGTTTATTTTTCGGTGCTGGATTGTGGATGACTCGAAATGCATTATCGAGAACTCTAAGTGGGGTGAGCACCACCAATTCATGTCCTAACTTATCAATCTAATGATAATTTTATTTTATTAACCTATAACAGATATGCTAGCTAGATCACTGTAATATATAATAATTTTGTATTAGTTAAATACTCCCAATTGCAATTCACAATATACTTATTCAGGCAGCATTGAACACTAAATATAAATCAATTTGATTTTCTCAGGCATGAACAAACATAGTACTTAAATAATTAAATCTGATCTCAACGAGTAAAAGCATAGAAAACAGTACAGACATAAATTAGAAGGCCGGAAGGAACCAGAATGAACAGCGGCACCACCGCGCCGTAGCCGTGTCTACTCCCGCCGGCGCACCCCAGCATCCCCAGCTTGATCTGCACCACATTAACCAAGGCCAGCATTAAGAACACCGACCCGCAAACCGAACCCGCAGCCGACACCACGTACCCGACCCGTAGTGCGGTTCGGTTTATGTGGGCCAGGTCGAACGCCGGCCACAGAACCCGATCTTCGTGGTTGTGATGGTGGTGGGCCCCACCGCGGACCAGCCTGACGACCTGTTTCAGGCCAAGCGCTACGAGGCTGGAGAAGAGGAAGCAGCTGAAGGAGTAGACGTGGAAGGTGATGAGATTCTCGGCGACTTTCGGGCCCGGCGTGCATCCGGGATGTTGGATCGGGTCGACGAGGCTGTTGTTCGGGTCGGTCGGGTTCCAGGCGAGCCCGATGAAGACGGCGAGTGTGAAGAGTGAGTTGACGTTGACGATTCCGTCCAGCGCCGTGATGTGGATGCTGGTGGCCGACATTTCCGGCGACGGCGGGGATTTGCCGGTGAATTGAATTAGGTTACCTTTTTGTGGTTTTTATTTACTGGATTGGGGCTGGGGTTTGGGGGTGCACCGGTGAACGTGAAATATACGGCGAGGTTAAAAAGGTAAAGTGGGAGATGTGATGTTGACTGTGGTTGGCCTTTACTTTTAGAAAGTGAGATGCCAAGTTTCAAATTGGAATGCGGACGGGTTTGGGCTTTAGATTCATTTTCTAGGCCCATATGTTTGAAATAGTAATGCGGGCGGGTTCGGGCTTTAGATTCATATTTTTAAGCCCGTATTATTTCCAGTTACAATAATGACAATCCAAATCAAAATTTTGTTCCACTTACTAAATTATTAGAGTTGGGACGAGCAAAATTTTATTATTGTAGCGAATTATTAAATTATCGAAATAATAATTTAGTAGATTTTTATCGAATCGGGACAGAAGAAACTATAATTTAAGCAAGGATGTTAATTTATCGAGATTCTACTGCAGTAATAAAATTGAGCACAAATGAAAAAAAAAAAAAAACAGCCAAGATACGAGATTGTTTTATTCATCGAACAATCGAGTTTTTTTATTTATTGATTTATTCTTTGATCACATTGTCTTATTATTCTATCCAACCTTAGGCACGTGAACAACACGTTTGTTTTCATCGAAAAAAAGCCAAACGCGATTGCAGCAAAAATCATGAATGACTGCGCTGCCTTCGGGGATAAAACGAACGTCGTTCACTAAGGGATTGTCTCTGAGGATAATGGACTTAGCTTGTTCGGCAGCCATACCAACTAAATTAGGCCATTCAGTATTGAACGTGCCTGCACCACAACACTCACGGCTTGCGCATCCACCACTGTCACAGGAAAATTTTGACATTTTTGCTTCTATTTTTTGCAAAATGAATGATACTTTGTCTCATGTATATAGACCTTTTTTTTTTCTTTTTTATTGTTGTAATCTTGTACATTATATTGACACACAAACATATTTTGGAAGTTGAACAATATGATTGTGAGAAGCAAATGTATTTGGGAAATAAATAGCATTAATGTGATAGTAAAATGATATGAAATTTATATTGTGATAATCTTGTCAAAAACATTTTCGGCCAGTCGATTTAATGCATTCATTGATTTTCACATTTTTGGATAAATTATTTTAAATGTTATCAGGCAACAACATGGGCATTTGGTCTAGTGGTATGATTCTCGCTTAGGGTGCGAGAGGTCCCGAGTTCAATTCTCGGAATGCCCCCTTAATAGTGTTTCTTTTTTTCATTTTGCAATGTGATGAATAATATATTTCTCATTTTGCTTAACCAAACAATGACAATGTGAATTTATCAGAATTTTCCCTTGTTGATGTGTATAAGCCCATTTATTAATCTCGCATTTGCACACATAATTCAATTTCAAACCAACTACAAAAGGATCAATAATCAAATAAAAATTAACCATTTCTGAACAAAATAATCAAGGACGAACATACAAATCATTGGGACACACCGTTCGATCAAAGAAAACAAATTATGTTAGAAGCGCCAAGCATGAATTTATCCGGCCAAGTATTTTCATCGGTCCATTTGCTGCGGCCTAGTCACACTATGGATGGCGAACTCCTCCTTCGTTTCAACACTCAAACGTGACACCGCCCCATCACTAATTCGATTAGAAATCGAACCCAAACTTTCAAGAATATTCCCGCCACAATTCTTCATCTTCGTTTCGCCACCTAGATAATTCGTCAGCACCCTTTTCACACCCATTCCCCTACGTGGGGGCTTATTGCAATTGGCCCCACCACCACCACCATGAAGAAACGGAGTCCTCTCCCCTCTAGCGGGGCTTATCAACGGAGCTGCAGGGGAATAATTCGGTGTGGTGGAGTACAACACTCGTTTCGGTGTGCCTGAGGCAGGCACCTGAAACGGGACCCCCATCTTTCTGTGAGTGATCAAACTCACTGTAGGTAGTTTGTCAGAAGAGTTCTTCGTTATATCATCCACATAAAGAAGATCTTCGATACGCGCCACAATACTAAACGCCAAGCTCTCCAATACCCTCGAGTAGCTCTCTAAAATGGATTTTCCCACATCCTACAATAAATTACTATTATTTAAAAAAGAAAAAAAGAAAAGACTTATTTAAGCTAAGACTTTGTTAGGTGTATGGTCTGTCAACAAACCTTGTTGAATTGTATTTTGGTTGCGTCTAATGTGGTTTGTGTAAGGCTCGGAAACCGCTGCTTCAAGCAATGCAAGAGGGTTTCGGCTCTTTCTGCGAGTAAATCTCTCTTGTCTCCATCTATCATGAGATCCTTAACAATCTCCCATGATGACTTGGCAGACGAACGGTTAGGATGAACCGGTTGTTTGGGGTGTTTTCTACGCCAAACGTATATCGCGGCCTCCACCCGATTTGCTATCTCCAGAGCAACATGCTCTGAAGACAGATCAAGGCAATCGAGCAAGCAGTCGGATGAAAAATGTTCCGACGTGATGTAACGGTATATTACATCCCCTAAGCATGATCTCCCATTCTGCAGAAAAACACATGTTTTTATGTATTAAAGATATTGAATTGTTGTTTTTTTTTTGTCAAAAGAATTAATAAATAAGGGATAGTCGAACCTTGGGGAGAGTTTCAGTGTAAGAATCTGGAACGTCCATCTCGGACAAAGAAGTGCTGTTGATAGCCATGGCGGCTTTAAGTATTTGACTTGCACATTCGCGCGTGTGAGTTAATTGCTTTCTTGAATCTTCCGGAAGACCGCCAGAGGGTACACGCGGCACAGGCAGCCACCACTTATCAGCTTGGCGTTGAATAGCTTTCCGGTAAGAGACTGATCCATCGGTTTCTGGCGGTGTTACACCTTGTTCGATATACCAAAACTCTGTATTTGTAAACCCATCCAGGATTTCCTGAAATTATAGAAATTTAGTTATATAAGATTGATATTTCCATACATCTATTGAAATAAAATTTGTTTTTTGTATGTCTTACTAGTAACATGTTGTCGAGTTTACGCAAAGCTGGGAGATTGATAATTAAATCCGATCTCGGTCGAGATGTCATCACCTTAAGAGAAAGAGGTCAAATAAGATATAATTCATACGAGAAAATTGCGCATAAACTAACAGACGGATGATAATTTTACCTCGAGCTTACTACCATCGGGAACTGTTTGCCAAGACGGTGTGAATTCAACGATATAATCGCTCACACAAAGAAGCCATCCCATTTCTCTTTGCCACATTGTTTTCTTTTCGGCTGCTAACGGTTCCAATCTCCACAATTGGCCAAACACAGTAGCTACACGTAAACGATCGGGTCTCTTGTTGAGTCAATAAAGCTATTCTTGAATACTCGACACCAGAAATTTAAATCTAACGAGAGGAAGAAATCTCTTACCACACAGATTTGTGATGGCGTTCGAAATTGCTAATGCAGGGCAGACCCCTTTACCGCTTCCAGACATGTCTTCGCCGAGTAATAGTTTCGCGAATCGCCCTTTCATCATCTCCATTTCTGCTCAATTCAAACACCAGAGTTAACTCAGTTGAGTAGAACATGACACAAATCAATTGTGTAATACTTTCAAATTCAATTGTTTTTCAATAGAACCGATGCCGAAAATGTAATCTACGGTGACTGATTACACAAAAGCACATGAATAATTAAATTGGGTAATTCTATTTCTTGTTTTAATTAAATTTCCTTTAACTTTTTTCTCTGCTTTTTTTTTCTTCTTTCTTTCTTATTGTGCTAAGGTAAGCTAAACCCATAATCAATTACCTGAAACTTTTGAGCCCTGATTCTTCAATCTAGAATCATCACCACCACCAATTTCAACATTCAATGCGGGCTTCCTTTTTTCTTCATTCAGACCATTTTGCAAACAGTTGGCGGCTTTCCTTATAGGCCAACCCAATTGAGCTGAAGAAGAGTTATCAGAAGAACTCGATCTACTCTCACAACTAGTGCTGCGGCTGCTCTCTCTTGACTCGGTCACCGAGTCATCACTAACCAACTCGGACCCATCTTTCTTCTTGCTCATCTCAGCCACACCTTCCATTTTCAAACTACAAAAACAAAAGGTACATAAAAAGGAGACTGCTTTTATTCAAAAATAGGGTTGGGTTTTAGCTGGAAATTGTTCCTATTTAAGAAATGGGTTCATTCATCAAACGCCATTAAAACATCAATTTTCACTGCTGCCAAAGGTTTTAAAGAAGAAGGAGATGAATACATGGTTTAAAGGGTTTGAAAACTTTGAATGGTGATTTGACATGGATGATTTTCTGGGCACATTGGAATTTTTTTTGTTTTTTTTTTAATTTATCCAATATTTTTACACTGTAACAGTGTGTAGTGTGTGTGTTGTTGGTTGTGCAGATTTGATTTTCAAAGTTTGAAGGTAACTGCCAAAGGGGCAAAAGGCGAACAACGTCTACTTTGACAAGTGCCATTCAAATTATAATATATTATTATTATATTTGAAAACGATGCGTAGCCGTAGGCGTTGGGCTGACGGATCAGACAATGTTTGTAATTACCATCTTACCCTTTCCGCATCACCATTTTATTTATTTATTTATTTATTTCCATATAATAATATAGCACTTCACATATGTTTATTCAAAATTATAAATTAAGAAAAAACACACACACACACACACACACACACACAAAACATGTTTTGATCTGTAATTAAAAAAAATATCAAAAAATAATAATGCTAGTAAAAAATAATATTGAATTGTCAAATTGTTATTTCCAAAGACATTAGATATTTGCATTTGATTATGGTGGTAAATTGTAGCTAGAAATAGAAAAGAACAATTAATGTGGCACTGTAGCCAATTATGGGGTTAGGTTGAACGATATAATTACAATTTAATTTATTTAATTGGATTTTGTAGTTGGTTAGAAAAAATTAAATTGAAGGGCAACTAGTTAGTTGAAGGAGATATAATTAATTGAAGTAGCAATTTGGGCATGCATGAGGGAGCGTCACAAATGTAGACTTTCTTTGGTTATCGGCTCTAATATAGTAATGGGGATGGCATGCATGCATACTAGGCATTTATATCTATAAGATTTAATTTTAGACATTTTTTTATGTTTGCAACAACATACTTTGCATGAGTATGATATTTAATTCCCATATATAATTATTTCAATTTTCAAGAACATACAATAAAAGAGAGTATGAAAAAAGAAGAAAGAAAATAAGTATACTTTTCATGTATGGAACCCTAAATAAGAATTTTAATTGAATTATAACCACTCAAACTATCTATATGTTCAATTTAAGTAAAACAGAAAGACATTTGGACGATACATTGGAAATTAATTATTACTCAACATGTTTCACATATTAGATTCATAAAATTTATGTCAATGTGAAAAAACGACACCTATTTAAGAATGGATGGAGTAGTTTTTAAATTCAGACATTAGCTGATGAATTTCGATTGTACTATAAGTCTATTACTATATTGCATGGAAGATCATTTGTTATGCATGTGTGAAAGAAAGACAAATTATCAAACTTTCTCTAACACATATTGAAAAATAAAAACCATTGACTCATGCAATACAATGCAATAATACCAACTATTGTAGGTACATTGTTGGAATATCCATACAGACAAGAAAGTTTAGACAAATTAGGGTGGCTACTCTATTTGATTTTTGCACGTAGACCAATAGTTTTAACATAATTATATTATGGACAAATCATTAATTACATGTATTGAGTTTGTCAATCTTGATTATGTCGCCCGAAGATAATTATCATTAATTGTAGGATTAGTGAAGTGGAAAAACATTCCATCTTTTTCGAGGAGGATGATAAACCCAAAAAAAATTAGATTAATTTAAATCTTGTGTTCCCACTAAATATAAAAGTAAATAATAAAATGAAAAAAAAAAAAAAGAATTTGGGAACAAAGAAAGAAATATTCCAAGAGGGTGGAACGGCTAGTAGTGAATTCATCATATTCCAATTCGGATTTTGAATTAAATGTACGGTAACTAAGAAAGTCGATTATGATTCTAAAGTTCAAAAGTGAACTTTTAGTCCAAAAAAGCCTTCGAAGACTTTTTGGTATCCAAAAAAGTCATTTTTTTTTCAAATTTGGAAATGTAAAATTATAAATTGTGCCCTAGTATTATGGAAATTTAGAGATACATATACACACTTTTTTTAAAAAAAAATTGACATTAAATGACGTAATATAGATAAATTTAGAAACCTCCCTTTCAATATATATAGTAAAAAGATTACATAAATTAAATAAAAAAATTCATTTGAGTTTTAAGTTAATTGGCAGTTCCGGAACCATGGTCACATATATATAAATATTACGGTAAATTACAATCACCCCTTGAGATAAGGTCAATTTACGACAAAATCCCTCATGTCTGGATAATTACATCTACCCATCAACAGTGATATTTTTTTTACACCTCCACCCTTATGGTGTCAAATTCAACATCATCATTTAAATTTCGTGGAATGTGCTCTAGTTTGTACTCGTTTTGTGTATAAAATACAATTTCTGACGCACTATAATATGATATATACAAGCCTAAAAAACACATATTATGATTATCTGGCTTCAAAATGTGGAGTTCGAATGAGATTAAACGGGTACAAAAGAGACAATATTCCATATAATTTCGAATATTCCACTAAATTTGAAATCGCAAGGGTGGACGTGTAAAAAGATTTATATTTAAGGGGTGGTTGTAATTACCCAAACAGGAGGAGAGTTTTCGTATTTTGACCATACCTCAGGGTTAAAAGAGTAAAAAAAATAAAAAAAAATAAACAATGTTGTTTGAAATTTGAATGGTTAATTGGGCTTTTTCTAAAAGCCCATCGGTCTTTTCAGATTTTATAGCCCAATGCTAAAATATTGTCCAACAATTAACCAACTTTAGATGGGCTGGACTGTTTAATTTGGTAGAGCCCAAATTTCTATTTGTCTTTTGCGAGAATCTTAGTGGTTTGTAGGGCATGCCAAGTGGACAAGAGAGGATGCCACGTGGGCAAGAAGGCCCCACCGTTTTCAAATCGAAATCCAAAAAAGCAAATCGAAATCCCATATTTGATTTTTGATTTTTGAAATTTGATGTCTAAAAATGGGCCATGAAACCTTAATAAAAAGCAACCCACTTTGTCTTTAATATTCCACTCCTCTTTTTTATTATTTAATTTAATAATTTTGATATTTGTGGGTGGGTCCCACTCTTCCTCCTAGGTACTCTATCCGCCATTATTATATCTTCCTCAACCAGCAACCTCTTTTTACAAAAACACATACTCCCACATTCTTCTTCTTCTTCTTCTTCTTCTTCTTCTCTCTCTATCTCTCTCTCTCTCTAACACACACACACCCACACACACACACACAAACACGTGAAAATGGCTGAAAGTGTTGAAGGTGAAGGGTTCTGGTTGCCGGCGGAGTTTCTGACCGACGATGATTTTCTTCCGGGTAAGGAGAATCTCAACAAGAGTTTCAACACTGAGTCACTGTCCGAGTTACGCTTCCCCACTGAGTTCCCCTACGATTTTGAATCCGAGCGAAAACAAATTCCTGAGGTAGGCGTACGCCATTTTGGTCTTCCATTTAATGTGTTTTTTTTTTTAAATTTTATTTACTATTTTCTTAACCTATTTGTTTTTGTTCCGCTTTTCTTTGTGCAGAAGTTATGGCTGATGTCAACTTCACCTCAGTCAACGCTGACGCGCATGGGAAGCTGGACCGCCCGAAGCGCCGGTGGGTCGAGCAACGTCAGCCCAAACTCCTCCACGCCGGCCCCAAAAACGCAGTTCGCCGCTAAAAAATACGACGTCGTCGGGGATCTGGTTTACCATGCCGCCGGTCAGGTTATGAAGCTCAAGCTGAACCACGGTGATGTGTTAGGAGGGCTTCAGCCAACTAGGGTTCCGCCGAGAAGCCGCCCCCAGTTTTACCCGGACTCCGAAAATCCCAGCCCCCCTGTTTTCCCACACAGAAATGTAAAGTAAAACCCATATTTTTAAAATTATTTTCTAATTTAATTATTAATTTTTTAATTATCTGAAAAATATATTTGTGGTCCAGTTTCAGCAGCAGAACGAGTGCTGTGGAGAGTGGTACAGTCAGCAAAGAGTGTATCAAAACAGGGGAGTGAGGAATCTCTCCGGAGCTGGTCAAACTGCATGGACCATCCAGCAAAACCCGACCCGTGTAAGAGCTATTTCTTTCGTCGGCGGCGGCGGCGGTGGTGGTGGGGCGGCGGCGAGAAGGGGGAGTGCTGGGACAGGGGTATTTTTACCTCGGAGATACGGGAATAATAATAATAATAATAATAATGACAGCAGCTCGTCAGATTCTCACATGACGACAGGTATTTATTTACTCATATATTTATTTTCACACCCATTTTCTTGCAATAATGTTTGGAGCTTTATATATGGGTTTTATTTCTTACATTATTGTTGCCTTGGATTATTCATTATTGCCTTTTATTTCCCTGCTGTCTGCTTTTGTTTGAATTTTCTGGCACTATTCTTCACCACTTGAATAATTTTGTTTACCTTATTTGGTTCACTTTGAATATTGGAAGTAATGCTAATTCAAGAATTAATTATTTAGTCCCATTATAATTCTTTCTTTTTTTTTTATTTTTAAATTTGTCTTTAGACCAAACTGGGAATAGTGACAAATCTGAGTTCCATGTGAATGGGCCCTTATTTCAACATCTACCCTTTTCTCTTTCCAGATTTTGAAGCCAAGATTCCATCATTTCTTGGCGGTATATTTTTTATTTGAATAATAAAAGAAGTATATTACATTTCTTTTTTATTTATTTATTGGAAAAAAGATGAAGCAAATCTGGGCAATTTGGCTTTTATGCTTCTTATCCACATTTTGAAAGTTTTTTTAAAAATTTAATTAGTGCATATCTTAACTTGCTTTATATAGATCTTATCATGAAATATTTGCCAAGAATTTCCATTATTCTTATTCTTAAAGCGTCTTTGGTTTTAATATTATTGAAAATCTTGTTAAGTCATCTACTTTTAATTTCCAACGTTTTTTTAATGTACACACACAGGTTGTTCGACTCCCCTGTTTCACGGTAGACCATCTGCTAATTCTTTTGCGCAATCTCGTGTACAACAGCCCCAGCCTCGAATCGCCGGAGGCTTCATACCTAATTACAGTATGTTCATTGGTATATCATTAATTGCTAATCATGTTTAGCTATATGCTAATTAAACGCTAAACTCTCTGCTAACGTTTGCAATCTGTATGCGGTGCAGATCAATCGATGGTTCGAAGGCAAGCAATAGTCCTTCAAGAAAGGCAACGTTTACTAAATTCACTGATCGAACGTGATCTTTTGCTACCACGGGACTGGACTTACTGACTCAGTTCGTAGGTTTATTCCCGAGGGCATTATCGTCTTTTCTCATGGAGTATGATGTTTTAGGGCGGGTGTGGGTGGTGTTTGTTTTTCGTCTTTTTTTTTTTTTTTTTTAATTACCTAGTACAGTTTGGTCAAGTGTTAGTTCAAGTTGAAGTTGGTAGTTTTTTTGTGGAAGGAATTAAGAAGAAAATAAAATTAAAGTACAGGAAAAAGCAAAGAAAATTGAGTTGGGGAGGGTGCTTTTGAATAAATAAGTGGTTTTGGGGTTATTTTGGTCATTTTGTTGTTTGAAAGTGTAGTTAAAATCCACAACCCTTCCCCTCATGTAATATAATATATTATACATTGTGTGTAAGTGTAATAAGAGGGTTTCATATCAATGTAAATATTTATAGCTTTTGGTTAGGTATTATTTTTTATTATATGAATATAATATTTTTTTGTTGTTGCATTGTTGTAGAGTAGATGGAACTTTTAATATTTAAATTATGGAGTATCATTTACACATTGATTAAGTAGATGTATCATTTATTGAATGAAAGCAGCACATTGATTAGGAGTTAAAGATTGAAAGGTGATGATGCTAATGTGTAGCTCACCTAGGGGTATAGGAAACAAGTTGGGAGAGCAAAACGGATCAGTAGTTTGATAACTTGATGATCCTGAGGTCCCTGCGAAATGAGCACACGTGAACTAAGCCGGGGGTTGATCCGGCGGAAACCCCTCCGACGCTCAAGTCAGATGTACGGATCGTAGAGATAGTAGAGAGAATAAACTCGTGGTTGATTGTGAATAATGAGAACGTACCTTTACAAATGAACTAGTAATACACCCGTGCGATGCACGGTGTATTGATCGTAAAACAAATATTGAATAATAAAAAATGTTCTCAAAATAGTGATATTAATTGTTAATAAGTAAAAGAAAGAAGTAGAACATATTCAAAATAAAATAATTTGTATGGTGTAAGTTCAAAATAAGCCGAAATAAGTGAAAAAAACTAAACATCGAATGTTTAAATTTTCTCATACAAAAGAACGAATATATAGTTGGTCCCAAACTTGTACAACCATAATGACATGAACGTTGAAAACTTGAATTGTTTGCTACCAACCGCCCTAAACGAATGCAACAAATCCAATACAATGCAACTGACCTGCATATGTTGTAAAATGGTCACACGAAATATGTAAATTGTTACCAAAACAATACCAATATAACTTTTTAATTGCATAAAATTATTGTAAGATTACCTTCATCAAATATAGCGAACGGAGTCCATAGCAAGTTCCTAGTACAATTAAAATAAACCTACGAATGAGGAATAACCAAACATAAAAATAATAGATAATAAAGGTCGTCAATAAATATTGTAATTTTTTGTATAAATAATTACCTTCATATACGCTGAAAAACTTCCTTGTATACAACATTATTTGTAACATTGGTCGTATCACCAGATTCCGAGTTAATCAAAAATCTTTATGCCACTTCGACTCTTAACCCTCGAGAGTGCGACATAGAGCTGTCCGTGACTGAAAACAGGTCTCGGCAAGTACATGCCCACGTGAGAAAGAGTTTGTCCTTGACTTTTATTGATTGTCATTGCGAATGATACCATCAGCGGAAACTGACGTCGCTGGAATTTAATAGGCAATGCAGAGTTGGACGGTACCAAAGTCATTCTAGGAATGAACACCATATCACCAACATGTTTACCGGACAGGATCCTGCAGTTGAGAACGTGTTTTCCCATATTAATAATCTGAAGCCTTGTTCCATTGCACAATCCTCTGGCCTGATCGATATTTCTGATGAGCATAACGGGAACACCTCTTTTCAATGTCAACTTATGCGGTGGAATTCCGGAACATGATATGGTGTTGAGAAACTACGGTGAGTATATTTCTGCGTTGACATCCGACAACAACTCCTCCTTGCACATACTATCTGAGCTGAAATAGACCTTCTCCTCTCCAGTTATGATCAACAAAAAATGATCGTTTACAAAACCGACACTTTCATTAGTGGGTGCAAGGATTGCTCTGCCTTCGAAATACTCGGGAGTGAAAAGGTTGGTCACCAGATCCGGATAGACAAACTCTATAAGATCCAAAAAGGGATCTGCAGAATTCCGAATCAGCATGTCATCGGGAATTTCAATTGTGGCATTACCGTCATTTATCTCGCCAGCATCGCCATTGCCGATTCTCAATATCCAGTCCGCAAATTCTCTTATTTCATCTGCATTGGCGGAAAAGAAGGACGACTCAAGTCTCATGTTCTTGTTTAACTTCATAACTTTGCATTGCCTCCACAACGGTGATGAATTGATTGTAGCATGCACAATGTCTTGTCTCGACGCTTTCAACACAACTGACAAAATTTGCCGAAAGTCCCCTCCAAGCACTACGACCTTGCCTCCGAATGGCATATATGAATCAAGTATAGATTTCATTGTTTTGTCGAGTGCTTCGAAACAATATATGTGCATCATCGATGCCTCGTCCCATATGATTAGCTTTGCTCTAGACAACAATTCTGCCTGTGGGCTCTGTTGTTTGATGCTGCATGTGGAGCTCTCATGTACAATTATTGGCAGTCCAAATCTAGAATGAGCTGTTCTGCCACCTGGAAGTAGAAGCGAAGCAATACCACTGGAAGCAACATTTATAACTATTTCTCCTTTTGAACGGATAACAGCCGATAGAGTTTTCCGTATGAAAGTCTTTCCCGTTCATCCATGCCCATAAAGAAAGAACAGTCCACCTCTGTCATTTGTAACAGCATCCATGATATCATCGAACACTTTTTTCTGCTCATCAGTAATGGATGAAAGGTATTTCTTAAGTTCTTCACGCATAGCATCAACGTCATAGTCCAACTCGTCGAGAACTAATCTATTTACCGTGTTGTCCGTCATCGGCCCAATTGGAATCGGCATTGGGGGAAAGTTACTCAGGCTTTTGCTGTTGCTTTGCAATATATTTTCTATTTCGATCAAAGCGTAATTTCTCAGAGTATCGTCTGACACAGGTGGACCTTCAATATAATAAAATATGAAAAATTAACATAATGTGGCGATTATAAAAATATATAGTTTTAATTCAAATGTGTGTAGTAAACGGTGTAAGAACGTAAGATGTATTCTCATACCTGAATTGGTACGACGTTGTTGCAGTCTGTACTCAATATCCTCGGCGAATTCTTTCCAGCAACACTCCCACACATGTTCCGGCCTGCTCATATTATTTGCGACCAAAAGTACGACGAATAATCGTCTCACATAGTCACCACTGGCCCACTCGTTTGCCTCATTTATGCCAGCTATGTACTCCTTGTCGTCATCCAGTAGTCCAAGCGCAAAGCACGCATCTTTGAAAGTTGGGTAGACGTGATCCTCGATTTTCCTAAGATCATCGTAACACGTGCAACCTCTTTGAAAGTTCAACAACAGTCTCAAGTAATAGTCTTCACCCCTGCCTGGCGGTACATTGGTAACCCTTTCGATCGAGAATCCCATCTTTCTCGGCATCTAACAGCGAGCTTTTTACTTATAGACAAATTTCTGTGGAAACTCTCCATACCTCAAATTTCTAGCTTCAGGGTACAACTTATTCTCTTGGAACCAAGCAAGGAACATCGTTTGCTTCGCAGTCGGTCTGTTCAGCACATCAACTAATGAGTCATTATCTGTAAACACAAAAGACTGACTGTCTGGAAGATGAAAGCTTAACCTAATCACCGGTGGGTCTCTAAAGTGAATGTCAAAGCTAAATAACCTCCAAGCAGCCTCGCATGACGAAAGATATCTGCAGTCGTAGTACATCTTTATCTCATCGCGATTTTCAGGAGGTGCACCTGGATTATTTGATTGATAAAATGCCGCCGTGACCCGATCGTGTCCTTTGTTGACGTACTTGAATAAATACTTTATCGACTTATTCTGGTTGCACAACTCGACATTAATGTGTGCTCTGTACTTTTTCAGTAGAGCACGGTTATAAGGCACGACGAAACCATTGACGAGATATGTTTTCTTCTTAACCACGGTCCTCCCATTTTCTCTTCTTCTGTACACCGGATAACCATCTGCATCGGCCTCAGTACGGTTGACAAAACTCTTTAGAAATCGCTTCGTGCAAATCCCGTCCTTCATGCATGGAGAGTTTTGATTGGCCAGACCGCACGGGCCGTGAATCATATACTTCTCAACCAAATCGTACATCTTTCGGTCTGTTACCTTATCTGAGATTTCGGCACATATGATTTTATCTATGTCTTTTGATGTCTTCGGTTTGTCTTCATTGTGAAGCCAAATCAATATGTGCGCATGCGGGAGACCGCGCTTCTGAAACTCAATTGTGCAAACATCTGAACATTTTACATTTTAAACGTATTTGGTTAGCATTAATATACATATATTTTCAATGTTTGACGTAATAAAATATTTATAATATTATAAGAGTAGACAATGTATAAAATATATATTATGTTATATTTTTATCTTATAAATTGATACTTACATGCTCTAATGCGATCAAATATTTTGCCCTTCTTCAAATCTGACATCAGACTGTCGAGCTTCATCTTAAAAACTCGAGCAAGAATATCGGGACGGTCTTCAGGTCTCAAATTAGTACCGTTCAACGCCTTTTGAATTTCTGGCCACTGTGGATTGCAGGTAATAGTGATGAACAACGATGGAAATCCAATCCAGTTGCATATTTGAAGAGCATCGACAAAGTTGTTAAACATGTATCTTGGACCTTGGGTAAAACTGCCTGGTAGAATAACCCTCGTGCCAATGGATCTAGCATCCGTATCTCCCTTCAAAATACTTTCCTCGATACCCTTGTACATGTCAACTCTTAACTTATCCTGGTTAAATCTTATAAATTTCAGTCTTTCCGATTCAACCCTTGAAAATGCGTCGACCATGAATTGCTGGCACAATTATTTTGAGTGCAACAGAACTGCGCTGTTGCCAAATCTTTTTTGGATCCTATACGCAAAGTACTGCCGCATTGTTAACTTCTTGCGTATACGTGTACCACTCACTGATGTTTCCCTCAGTGGTATATC